GGGGCAGTTGCGCGATTGGTGACCAGGGAGCTTGCAGGTGAGGCAGTGTGTGGGATCACGGCAGTCTATGCGGCGGTGTTCTGAGCTAAGGCAGCGGAGGCAGAGGCCCTCGCAGCGCTTTCAGAAGGCTCTGCGGGCCGCCATAGCTGCGGCGGACGGGCGGTGGAGGAGTCTTGATGGCGGAGGAGGCGCGCCGTTGCCCAGCGCATTTTTGGCGTACCTCTGTTTCCGGGATCTCGCCTGAGTCCATCCCTCCTCAGCATCATGGGCGTCTACAGACGAGGTGGTAGGGGTGGGCGCAATGACGATGGAGCGAAGCTTAGGGACTGCTGGGCCGACGGGGTGCGCCTCCGCCAGAGCGCCATTACTGTTGCTAGCGGCCTGCTCACCATTATTGCCGCCAGCCTCCGACACGACCACGATGGATTTCAGCTTGCCCTCGCCGTCACGGTTGCGCGCTCGGTCCGCCAGGGGCAGAGGGGGCAGCCGTTGGACCGGGGTAGCGGCGAGCTCCGCAGGGGCCAGCGGAGGGTCGGGGATCGACAGACCACGCGGCCTTGGGGGAGGGGATCCAGATCTCGATCTGACCTCACCATCCACCGAAGAGTCCCAGTCAACTAGCTCCAAAGGTTGGGTCGGGGATCCTGGGCTAGGGTGGTGGATGGCGGGAGGGGTGGCGCTACGCCCATCGGGCCGTAGCGGGGGCTGGTGGCCGCCGCGGCCGGAGCGGCCAGCGACGCGGGCTGGGAGGAGCGCGGGTTCGGGCTGGGAGGAGCGCGTTGCGAAAGGTCCACTTCTATCATGCTCCGTGTCGTAAGCTATGGACAGGTAAACAGAAAAACTAAAAAGTGCATGTAAATTAAGGAGCTTTGCTACACGTACAGGGTGTTACAGGGACAAGGGGATTACAGGGTGTTGTGGCAGTTTTTAATTGGTCATTAGTAGAGACACGGGCCCACCCCCATTGAAATCAGGGGATGTGTTTAGAAAGTTTGGAATGAGCCTGTAAAAGCCTGTACATCTAGCATTTTTCTAAACTATGAATACCACATCCATGCTTAACGGCTAATTCTTTTTTGACATCGTGCTTACACAGCTAGTTTATTGGGCTCATTCTGCAGAGCAAGACGATACATTAATCAAATCATATGGTCAGGACTAATTAAGGAGCAAAGTAGGAACCATTGCCCCTGCAAAAAAAAAGTAGGAACTGTGGCCGACCTGATCTTTTGTCTTCACGTGACGACGACCCAACAACCGTGTTTCGCCGGCTAGTCGTCCACCGCCGAATAGAAAATGGCATGCATCCCGCGTCCTCTGTCTTTCCCCACACTGCCGTAGCCTCAGACCAGATCTGGAGAGTAGACCAGAGAGCTCCAAGCCGCCGGCCGCCGCTCACCTCCCCCTCACCCTCACCTCGCCGGCGGCGTTCACCCGGCAGCTGCAGAGTGTATGTGCCTATAGACCCTGCAGCCTAGCTACCCTTCTTTCCCCAACGCTTCCAATGGCAGATCCAGTTAGCTTTAGTGCTGCTGTAGGATGGGGCATAACCGCTGTAGGTTGGCTCGCCTCACCCATCATTCCCAGGCTCCTCAACAAAGGTTTCGCGCTCCTGGACTTCAACGCAGCGGAGAAGCTGAAGATAATTGATATGCAAGTTTTGCATCCACAGCGGGTGATGGAAGTAGTCGACGGGAACACTTACAGGGCACGTTTGGAGCCACTGTTAGATAAGCTTAGGTCTGCTCTCTACGAAGCCGAAGACATCTTGGATGATGTTGAGTATCAGCGTCTCAAGAAGCAGATCCAAGATGCCAAGTCAGAAGGCAGCATCCTTCCACGTAAGAGGGATTTATTGATGAAGAATCTTCGGTCTGCCATGCCGAGATCCCTCCTAAAAGATAAGGTATTCCTCTGCTCTCATGCTTGGATGTGTTCTGATTTATGGCTCTTAGATATATGACTATAGCTGCCAAATCGGAATGCACTCTCACTTGTTTGCCACAATTATCTAGACTAGATGTTAAGATCATGAAATGCAGTTAAGAGATACGACACAGGTTGTTAGGGAAAAATAGGATTACTTTCTTTGGAGCCAAATAAATCAAGAGTTTATATAGTATTTTCTTAAGAGTAATTAGCCCATTATTAGGAATAATCCAAGACTCTAGCTAGCACCGTCTTCCACAAGTTCCTCTTTTTCCTGTGTAGACCTGACAGCACAACTTTTGGTGTTTGGTCCTTTTCCGACGGGACAACAATGCCTCTCGGTGCACTCTTCTTCATGCATCATGATGCACGATTTGTGTCACTCACAGAGCCTGGGGGTCTCTCTCCATTCTAAAAAGTAAAAACTCTCCTTCATACGACAGCGTAGAGTAGCACCACCGTCAACATGACCACTTGTTCCTTCTTTTACTAAATTTTTCTTTCCTCTTCCCAAGCCCAATCTAGAGGAGCATGAGAAGCAACACCAGGGTTTGCAAAAATCAGTTAGATATGTCCAGTCCGAGTAGTACTAGTTTGAGTTAGTTTTCATGTCATGTGTGGGCTTGTGCTACTCTGGTTAGAAGTGCTTTTCCCTTTATGATATTATTAGGAGTTGGTGTTCAAGTAGAATTTTAATCGGCATTGAAAATAACCAGAAAAGGTACGAAAAGTGATAAGACAAAAACTATGAGGCATGATACATGCCTCTAATTTCGAGTTGCTGCATTCATGTGCTAACAAGTGCTATTTGATTTTTCCAGGAGAGTGGTATGTCAAAAGTGGAATTGAAGAAGAGCCTAGAGAAGATAGAAAGTGCTATAAATGATGCATGTGAAGTTTTGAAACAACTGAACTTGCCAGGTGGGCGTGATGATGATGGGAGGCAAGCTGTTGCTACCAATTCACGCCGTGCAGTCACTACTGCAGCTCCTCCGACAGGAGTAATTGGTCGGGATAACGATCGTGACAAGATAATCGCAATGCTTCATGAGAAGGAAGACCATTGTCAAGCAAATACTGTCAGTGATACATGCTATTCTGTAATCGGCATCCATGGCATGGCTGGGTCAGGGAAATCAACACTTGCACAGTATGTCTATGATCACGAGAAAAAGCGTAGGCAAGAGAAAAAGGAGGGCCATTTCAATATTGTCATATGGATTCATGTTTCTCAGAAATTTGATTTGGATTCCATTTTTAGGGAGATGTTTGAGGGGGCTACAGGGAAAGCATGCGATAAATTCAATAGTCCTAACGTCCTGAAGGAAAAACTGGAGGATGAACTGCGTGGGAAACAGATTTTACTGGTACTAGATGATGTCTGGTACAACAGTAGGAATTCGGGAGACCGTGAAGAGCTACAAAAGTTAATTTCTCCTCTGAATGTTGGAAAGGAAGGAAGCAGAATCTTGGTGTCAAGTCGAACTGAAGCTGCACTAGTATCTCTGGGTGCTGTAAAAGAGAGATGTATTCCAATATCTGACTTGGATGATGAAGTGTTTCTTGAAATGTTCATGCATTATGCACTTAGGGATGCAAGGGTAAGTGACCATGATAAAAGAATACTTGAATTGATTGGAGAGGACATTGCAAAAAAGCTGAAGGGCTCACCTCTAGCAGCCAGAACAGTGGGTTCACGGCTTCGTGAAACACAAACTGTTGAGTTTTGGAGAAGCCAGAAAGATTGGGACCTTATGAATGACATGATGGGAGCTCTATGGTGGAGTTACCAGTGTCTTGATGAGTAGGTCAGGCGATGCTTCGCTTACTGCAGAATTTTCCCCAGGCGATATCGTTTGAAGTGTGATGAGTTAGTTAAGTTGTGGGTGGCCGAAGGGTTTATAAAGATTAGTAAGCCTGAAGAGGAAATGGAAGATGTTGCCAAGAATTATTTTGATGAACTGTTGTCGGCCTCATTTCTGCAATTAGGAGGGAAAGAACGGGTACATGGACATGATGTTGATTATTTTACAATTCATGATCTGCTGTGTGATTTAGCAGAGGAGGTTGCCGGAAGAGATTGCTTCAGGATAGAGAATGGCTTCACAGGAGAAGTTCCGTCGGGTGTCCGCTATCTTTTTGCTGGGACTTGTAATATAGAGATGCTTACCGAGAAGATATATGGGTTGCAAAATTTGCGCACTCTCATCATTGATGGCATGATATTTGTCAAATCAGACGAGCACAAAGCCTTCAAGAGTATGTTTGCTATGTTCACGAGGCTGAAGAAATTGAGGGTACTGAAATTATCTGTCATGCCTTATAAACACAAATTCTCATTCCCAGATTCTATTGGTGATTTGAAGCATCTGCGTTATTTTGCTTTCTCGGTGTATGCACGTGTCAAGCTAACTATACCAGGCACCTTTACCAAGCTTTACCACATGCAGGTGATAGATTTTGGTTTTTGTGGTAGTTTGGCGTCTTCTAGTGGTGAAGATATGGTGAACCTAGTTAACTTGCGCCATGTAATCAGCAGGGCAGATCAGGAATTTCCAACGTTGGCAGTTTGATATGGCTCCAAACGCTACCATTCTTCAGAATAAGGAGGGCACGGGGGTATGAGCCACATCAGCTGAAGCACCTAAACAAGCTTCAAGGCACGCTGTTGATTTGTGGTCTTGAGAATGTTGAGAGCAAGGAGGAGGCTGTTAAAGTCAATCTTGCTAATAAGGAAAAACTCACAGAACTGATACTTCAATGGGATAATGAGAGCTGCAGTCCAGAAGTTCAAGCAGAGGTTCTTGAGGGTCTTTGTCCATCGAAGTATCTTGAAAGACTAGATATCTCCGGGTACCACGGTATAAGGTTACCGAACTGGATGATGGGTAACCATAATGGCGGCCCAAAGAACCTGCAAGAACTTATATTCAGTGGATGGAACCAGCTAGGACCTGCTCCTGACCTTGGGGCTTTCATTCATCTTCGTTCTCTACATGTTTCTAGCTGCAGCTGGGATGCCTTACCAGGCAATATGGAGCACCTCACAGCACTCAAGAGACTGGATATAAAGTCATGCAAGAATATACGGGAGCTTCTAACACTGCCCAAGTCTCTTGAGGAGTTTAACATCATGAACTGTAGCAGAAATGCCTTACGAGGAAATATGGAGCACCTCACATCGCTCAAGAAATTTGTGATCTGGAATTGCAAGAATATGCGGTCGCCCCCAACACTGCCCAAGTCTCTTGACGAGTTTAAAGTCGTGCGCTGCAGCTTCAATGCCTTGCCAGGCAATATTGAGCACATCACATCACTCAGGAGACTGGATATACAGTCATGCGAGAACATGCGGTCGCTTCCAACACTGCCCAAGTCTCTTGAGGAGTTTATCGTCTTAGGCTGCAGCTTGGATGCCTTGCCAAGCAATATGGAACACCTCACAGCACTCAAGAAACTGAGTATCACTATCTGCAAGAATATACAGTGTATTTGTAAGTTGTCTACAATATATGGATTTATGAGTTGTTGACTGTATATGGATGCCGTGGATGGCTCCACAGTGGTTTGGCAGGTCGGCCTCGGCAACGGCTGGCACGTCCTGGCATCGGTTTGTCTGTTGGCGGCTTGTATCGGCCTTTGGCCCCCCTCCTCGTTGTCCGGTCGCTATGTTCGTCGAAGGACTGGCCTTCTCCTAGCTGCGGTCCATCGCTCGTCTCACGCCCGGCGCGCAGGTCCGAGCTCGTCTCGCGCAGTGCCGCAGGACTAAGCTCGTCTCGCACGCGGTGCAGCAGGACTGACCTTGTCTCGCGCACGGTGTTTCAGGACTGAGCTCGCCTCCTGCCCGGTGCTGCAGGACGGGTCGATGGAGGCCAGGTGGCCAGCCTATTGGGTCTCGGCACTGAGGGTCGCCCAGGGGTGCGAAAGGTGGGACCTTTTCGCTCGTCTGGTTGGGATACCGGCAGGTCTCGGGTGAGGTGGTGTCAAGGTCTTGGATGCCGGGGTGGCGGCCCTGGTGGTGGTTGCGCGGTACTCTCGGGCGGAGGCCGTGGCTTGGTGCTGCCCGGTGGCCATGGCCGTGTGGGCGGCATGGTTGCCGGGGTGTGGCGTTCGGTGGCGGTGAGTTTTGGCCGGGGTGAAAACCTGTTCTATCTTCGGATGGACCGGCGGCGGCGAAGCGCGTTCCCTTCTTGAAGGCGTCGTCGCGGCTCTCATTGCGTGTCGTGCGGCTCCGGGGGAAACTCTGATCCTCGGATTGGGCGGTGGCGGCGCTCCGGTGTCGTATCCTTACTGAAGGCGCCGCCTTGGAGCCCACGGTTCGTCATATGCGGCTTCATCTCTTCGCGGTGGTAGTGCTAGGGGTGGTGTTGCCACGCTCAGCGCCTATGTATCATGCCTTGGGTGTGTGCGTGTGTTGTGGTGGCGTGCGTTTGTACCGGGTTGTTGTGATCGTGCTTTATATATAAAGCGGGGCGAAAGCCTTTTTCGGTATGGATGTAATAACGTGAAACACGATGGAACACCGGATTGATTTGCTTACTATAAATGATTTGTAACACTGTCCAATGCATGATGAACCCCAAACTGTTTGATTCCTAGCTATATATGATTTGTAACACTTTGCAATGATTATCACTGAATTCGTTCCTTTCTGTCGTTGTTTGTAACATGTTTCACCAAAGTATCCGAATTGGTTGCTAGGAATCGAGGGCTACATAAGCACAGTATGGTATGAGGTTACCAGATCGGGCGAAGCTAACCGGGGGACCTGCTCCTGACATTGAGGCGTCCATTCATTTTCAGTGGTGGAATGCTAAAAGGCTTCAGTGTTTGCAATGTACAGTGACTGCATTTTTTTTCCTACTGGTTCGGCATTCAGGGAAAGTGCTCTCACACAGCGGCCTGTTCTCTGTTCTGCACACGCTCTGGTTTTGGGCAGACACAAGTTTTGATGTGTCCGCTTAGGCCTGCAAACACGATTGATATAAGTCCTTTCGTCTAACTTATAAAAAATGTTTAAAAGAAGGATGTGCCGTGTAGCATGAAAGCAAGAACGCCATAGGCTTCTCACCACTGCCAAGTGAAATTCTGTCGATCATCAAGTCAGGCGCCATCTTGTCAGAAAGGTGATCACATCTGTATCGAAACAGCGACCACTTTGAACTTTGAAAGCTGGTCTCATGGCGACTCCACTGAATCTGAAGAAAGAAGACGACAAAAGTTTAGACACCAGAGAAGAAACTCGGGTCCAACTTGTACACATATTCAAAAATCTTGCGAGCTATAAAACAGACAAATTATAGGCGCTCGTGTAGTATCTCATTGGTAATACTGCCACACAGGTTGGAATACATAGCCAGACAGAGACAGAGGCACATCAACCTAAGGAAACCGAGTCATGAAAATTTTAGTCATGAAGAATTGGTACGTTCATGCTCCAGGAGTCCATATACTACCTGGGCACCTGGCAGTATAACAAACAAACCTGAACTGAAAAAAGAACAGGGAAAGAAACTGGGTGTATTGGTAACGACAACCAACATATTCATGACTCATAATTGGGTGCCATCTACCATCCTAGTACAAAACTCAGTCACAACGAAGAAATAACTAGAAAACAGGGTGTACACATAATAATTGCTAATGCACGATCCTCGTACTCTTTTTTTTTCTTTTACTTCTGTTTCATGGCTACCGCTCGCTTGCAAAATGGAAGACATTGCGTTCATCTACATCAAGTCTATCTACTGTGTGCTTGAGGCATCCACCAGTAATGAGAGAATAAACTGCGTCAATCAGAGGATCTGTAGGTTAGGAAAGGAACAGCCATATGAAATGTCACAGTAACTGAAGCAATAAGTAACATGAAAACAAGATCGACCTATACATGACTACTGCCAGGTGAAATTCATTGTCATGCACCATATAGTCTGAAAGGTAGGTGTTCACATCTGCCACAACCCCACGCTTGTCGCTTTGAACTTAGAAAGCTGATCTGATGACAACTCCACCAAATCTAGACAAACAAGACAAAAACCTCAGTCAACATACAAGAGCTTCCACCCAATTTGTGCACACTAGTTCAAGAGTTTTAGAAGCTTAAAAGGAAAAAAAGTTTTAAGGTACTTAGGTAAGTAGTATCACAGGAAGGTGCAGAACAGCCTAATATTGATCTCAACTAAATTTGAAACATGTGACTGCAGGCAGACACTCACTTCAGTGTACTTGGCATCATTACAAGTTGGGATACACAACCAGACAGAGGCACATGAACATAAAGGAATTCAATCCAGAAAAACTCATATGGAATTGGTTTTGCAGGAGTTCATTTACTGCCTAGGCACACTATCAGTATAAGAAACTACTAAGGAAAAGAAAGAAACTGGAGGTGTTGGTAGCGACGAGAAACAATACAATCACCTGAAACTTTAAGTTTCAGTCAGTATCTCAATCAATATGATTTGCCTTGAGATTCTGAGCACAACCATGATACTGAGGATCTAAGAGTGGTGGAGACATTGACAGCAATAAAGAGCAATTTCAGTTGCCCATGCTGATAAGCACTCACTTCGATCTCATAAGGTTGATTCACATAAAACAACATACGTGGGATAACATTTCAGTTGCCTGTGAGCACAAGTTATGCAGGTTTATCTCAAAACAGCATTGCAAGCTAAAATTATACATCTGAAGATGATTAAAAAAGAACTTTTCTGCCTCCTTACATCTATCAAAATAAGTGTACAAAATGAGCTGTCTTTGACTTGAGTGAATTTTCTCAAGGTGAAACAATCCGAGGTAAACTGGA